ATCACCATCTAGCCACCGTGACAGCCTCTCTCTACCTGAAGGGGGGTTCCAAAGAGGATGGAGCTCGGCTGTTCTCAGTGGTGGCAGACGACAGAACAAGGAGCAATGGTCTCAAGTTGCAGTGGGGAGGTCCAGGTTGGATATCAGGAAAAACTATTTCACTAGGAGGGTGGTGAAACACTGGAATGCGTTACCTAGGGAGGTGGTGGAGTCTCCTTCCTTGGAGGTTTTTAAGGCCCGGCTTGACAAAGCCCTGGCTGGGATGATTTAGCTGGGAATTGGTCCTGCTTTGAGCAGGGGGTTGGACTAGATGACCTCTTGAGGTCCCTTCCAACTCTGATATTTTATGATTCTATGATTTGGCCAGGTAGGTCGCTCTGGTGGAGGGCTTTCTACTGCCCAACAGGACCTGTTGGACACCAGCCGAGCCCTCCTGCTCCTCTGCATTTAACCATGCAGCAGCCAAGCCATCAGCTGCAGCACTGCCAGGTTTGGATGCAGAAGACCGTGTGGTTTTGGGACAGCAGAATCTGGCGCCTGGTGTGGCGTCTGCAGTGCCAGCTGGCCTGCTTGATCTTTAGCCACCGGGGCCACAGCATTTGTGTCCTGGGAAAATGGAAATACACATCCTTCAAGTCGAGGGCAGCATACCAGTCTCCTGGATCCACGGAGGGGATGATGGAGGCCAGGGAGACCATGCAAATCTTCAACTTCTTGAGAGACTTGTTGAGGCAACGCAGGTCCAGAATGGGTCTGAGGCCCCCTTTTTGCTTTCAGGATTAGGAAATAGTGGGAGTAGAACCCTTTCCCTTTCATGTCTCGAGGGACCTCCTCCATCACCCCCAGGCACAGGAGGTTCTCGACCTCCTGAATGAGAAGTTGCTACTGAGAAGAATCCCTGAAGAGGGACGAGGCAGAGGGGTAGGAGGGAGGGTCGGACATGAACTGCAGGGTGTTACCCAAATATATTATGTCAATATATTACCCAACCGTCTGAGATCAGCTGCAACCAGGCCAACCGGAAGGGGCACAGGCAGTTGAGGAAAGAGTAGGAGGGTGGATCCTGGGACGTGACTGGGGCATCGACCACGTGAGCACTGTCAAAATGCCTGCTTCTGGCCTCCTTTGTTCCTGGAAGGGCCAGGCTGAGCAGATGAATGGAAAGACGACAGGTAACACCACTTAGACCCCTTGTCTCTATCCTTTTTCCTCTAGGTGCTCAACTGGGGAGGTCTCCAGGACCTAGACTGGGGAGATGGAGGAGGTGGAGGATGGAACGACTTCCTGGTCTGCAGAGGGGTACGAAGGCCCAAGGAATGAAGGGTTGCTTGGGAGTCTTTAAGGCTGTGGAGCCTTGCGTCTGTGAGTTTGGAGAAGAGCCCTGCCTCCTCAAATGGTCTGGGAGACCGTGATGGTGACCTGTCCTGCAGTGATCTTAGGCTGGAAGCTCGCCGGTACTGGAGGTACAGGGACTTGTGCCTTGACTCCGGTGTCCCATGCCTCGCTGGGGGAGAGCACGGCGTTGGGGACCTGGGCCTTCTGACCGGAGACTGAGTGTGCGGTGCCGGGGTCCTAGGATGTGGAGATGGGGATCCACGCCTGCGGTCTGGGGACCGAGGATGCTCCACTACGCTATGGGGCAGTCCCATGACTGGCTTGCCCTTAAGTGTTGGGGTCTTAGCCAAATCTGGCGCCTGGTGTGGTGTCTGCAGTGCTGGCTGGCCTACTTGATCTTTAGCCACCAGGGCCACTTGGGGCAACGAGGGCCCAGGAGAAGCCAGGGTCCCCTGCCGCTACCAGGAGTCAGATACCTGGCTGGGCCAGGGGGTCTGATTGCAGCGGTACCCTCGTTAAGCTCCAGGGCGGGCACATGGCCTAACATAGGTCCTTTGCCAGAAGCCCCTTTTCCCTCTGGTGCTGGAGAGGGCTCTTCTTTTTCTTTTGCAGCTTCTTAGGCACTGGTGAGGGAAAACGGTACTGGGCAGATGCCAAGATGCTAGGCGCAGGGTCAGAGTGGGAGGGCTCTGACACAGGATGAAGTGCAGCCTCCATGAGGAGGGCCCTCAAGCAGATATCCTGATCCTTCTGAGTTGTAGGGCAAAAGTTCTTACAGATTCTGCACTTGTCCTTCCTCTGGGACTCCCCCAAACACTTCACACAGCTGTCATGGGCACTACTGATAGGCCTCAGCCTGTTGCATGATGAGCATGGTTTGAAGCCAGGGGAACTGGGCGAAGTCCCAGCCGGGACTCTAATTGCTGAACTAACCTAACAGTTAACTTAATGGCTAACTAAGTACCAACAAACTGTAAACAAAGGAGATAGACAATGGGTTGTAAAGAACCACTAACATTCTTCCACTGCCAGTCATGGGCGATAAGAAGGAACTGAGAGGGCGTCGGGTCAGTGGCGCCTAATACTCCAGTGCATGAGCGCAGCACTCAAGGCGGCGTCACAGCTGACCCTACAGATACCGCTAAGGCAAAAATCTCTGACGACTGTGCACGTGGGCGCGCGCGCATCTAGAATGGAATCAACATGAGCAAGCACTTCAAGAAAAAATTAAGATCCCTATATTGCAAAAGCATCTGCATAAGCATGGAGTCCCACTTGCGTGAAAGGGACTCAGGTGGGAAACAAGAATTTGTTTACATGGACTTTTTTGGAGATGGGGGCCTAAAATAGAAAAGTTATAAGCAATTAACAGTTGGTTATTGAGTATGCTCTGTGCACACTTTAAAGACTTCTGCAAAACCTAACACAGCCCTGCCCACTATGTAGTGTGTTTATATTACCCTATAGGATTCAAGGAGAGCCACACACTTTGTTCTGTCCAACCTGATGAAAGGCTGGCCAGGGATGGATCTATGGTGTTTCTTGCAAGGACTTAAAAGGAAAATTGATTGCTAAAGCTGGGTTTCTATATGATGATACTGAAGCCTCATTAACTGCTTGGACCAAAATTACAGTGATCTTATGAGACAGTTGATTATGTAAGATTTTTACAGGCCAAAACAGTGGAAATCTAGCTAGGTTAACTCCTCTCATGAGATCACGATCATCCTGGGCTGAAATTTTGTAAGCACAGCTGTTCTTGCGAGTTTTCATCTCTGCAATGGAACTGAAAATTTAGCTCCTTCTGGTTTTTGTTCAAACACAGAAGACCAGACTCTTAAGACCATGTCTGGATCGAAAGCCTCACATACCTGTATATTTGTAAAGGTTCAAATTCGAGCTTCTGTGTTTAGTGCTTTTTTAGAATTGTGAGGGTAAAACTGCAATTTATTGCTTAGTTTACATTTTATTTCCTGTTACACATAAGGTCACATATATTTAAAATAAATGAAAAACTTTAGAAAGGACTACAGTAGAACCTCAAAGATACAAACACCAGAGTTATGGACTGACTGGTCAACCGGACACCATGGGGAACCAGAAGTAAGCTATCGGGCAGCAGCAGAGACAAAAAAACCCAAAACAAAAAAGCCAGCACTGTACTGTGCCTGTATTGCACCTTAAAGGTAGGCACATCTGGCTGCCTGTCCTCACCCCCTACTCCCCACAGTATGGGGCAGCCACTTACAGGTAGGAGGTAGTGAATGCTGTTTTCCCCTCACTGCCCCCGGCTAGGAGGGGGACAAGCTTGCAAGCTCAGAGCCCGGAGAAAGAAACTTCCCAAGCTGCTATTGAAACCTGGCCTGGGGTGTAAGCTGCTGGAGCTGGAGCCTGAGCTCCTGCCTGCATCCTGTGCTCTGGGGGAGAGCTCAGTTTTAAAGGGTCACAGCCTGCACTGTGCACCCACTGACACTGCAGTGCCCCAGGGTGCTTCACTCATCACCCTTGCAGACAGGGGTCTAGAACCTGCTGCCTGTCCCCACCATCACTCGCCAGGCAGCCACTGAAAGCTGTGAGCCCCGCTCCGAGCAGTCTACCCTGAGGGGCATCCCATAACGTCTTGTTCAGAGTTACGAACAACCTCCATTCCAAGGCATCCGTAACTGAGGTTTGACTGTAATTTACAGATATTTTTACTCCATATACTGCGTACCTCAGTGTGTCACAGCATCAGTTTACAACACCTGCAGCCTGCTAGACTTAGTATAAATATTACTACAATAAACGGTGAAAAGAATGTACAGATAAGCAAATGCAAATTAAAACCAATAAAATACATCAAAAGAAAATGTAGCAAATAAGAAAATGGAGGGAGAATATTTAAAAGCAAAGAAAGAGTTGTTACATCTATGAATTATACAGATCACATTTTTCCTCTGGTAAAGTCAGATTGTAGCTAAGATATTTATAACTATCAAAAAGTTATCTAGTTCAAATGATTTATTCCCCCTCAGAAATAACATTTCAGCAGGAAAACCCATTCATTTGCTTGACTGCTGCTCCTGTCTGTCCAATGGATATATATTCCCTTAAAGTAATAACCTCCAGTTGGAATTTTCAGCTATAAACGGACGCACACTTACCTCTTTCTACAGCTGTCAGCTTCCTCCACATTTATGTCACTTTCAATAACACTGTCTGAATATTTGTCACTGATTGAATCCAGAACAGAAAGAAGCTCAATCTGTGAACTCGAAGGCAGCAGTAAGTTCAGCAGTCTGTGCAACATCCCCACCGGTACCATTGTCAGTTTGGTTAAATAAGCTGCCAATCGGAGCTCCTAGAGGAATCAATGATAAAAGTTCAGACACGTTCAGCATACCACGAAGGCGTGCCTCTCCGGAATATGCTATTATGGGCCTGTTATGCCCTGCAGGTACATTGTATTCAGCACCCTTTGGATCTTTTCAAACAATTAACCAGACCAGGTTACTTCAACCCCTCTTTGCAGGGTCTGGTTTATTTACCATTCTAACATATACCCCTATCTACCTTGCTTCTGAGGGAGGAGGCAGCATTTATACTGGCCCCATCTCCCAGCTCATTTTTCTATTATCTGGGTGAGAGGGGA